TCGCCAATCAAATCATCAAGAACGAGCACAGAACGAGAAAAACTGAGAAATAAAACTTTTTGGTGGTTTATCTGTCATAGACTTCTTTTTCTTTTTTTTTTTCTCAATAAACTATCGAACCACTATTGTGTATAGATTAGATTCAAACAAAGCTCTAACAAAACATGTTTTATTCTTTTCCTCTGTTTTATTTCATTAGGCTTGTCCCACAAAATTCACACTTCTACACATTCACACAATCAGGATACTTGGACACCAACACGATAGAAGAGGTTTGGGCGATTTTGAAAGTGAGCAATGAACATATTGAATTCAACATGCGTTGAGCAGACAATCGTTAGTGATGACAGAAAAAAGCTGCAAACGCACCTAGATTGATAGCCATCGTCTGCGTTTACTTTGTGATCATTTACTAACTGTGTATTCCCTTAGGTTATGCATCCATCGAAATTCCTGGTAAACTCTTCTAATTGCTCGGTTGGTCACGATATTTACATCAATCTCAATCATGAATGTCAACAAATTATCAATGACATGAAAAGTCAAATATTCTTCGACCACAATTTGGAATATCGCCATCTTATGTTCCTCTTAAACAATCGTACAACCATTGAATATAAACTAATTGAGCTGTTATTCGATCGGATCAATCAATTAAACGTACCATCAGATGTTCGTGAAAGGTTGCTTTGCAATCTACACGAGGTTAGCATGGCTTTCACTCCTGTCGATATCTACATCGACGACAACAATAGTTTTCGTCCTGATTCTGATTCAGAATCTGAATCTCAAGGAGAATTACTCGTTGATCATCCAAATGGTGATATCAATTCGTCTGATAGTAGTTACGAATATGACGTGCCAGAGAATATCCAACTCGATGATTACCAACTCGAGCATGGCGTTGGTATTATCGCCAGTGATCTTACGGATCCAAATACAAAAGTAACTACAAACAATAACACTCCTCATTTTCTCAACTAACTGTGTCTTTTTCTTCACATTCCTTAGACTAACGGTGACTCTGATTGTGACCTCTAGCTTGAGAATAATTCATCTTTATGTCATGTATTTTGTTGTTGCCAATAAAGCTGACTAATACGTTACCTGGCATTTGTATTTTCACTCTTCCTAAACAATACATACCATGATTTTGCCTGATCATCATAGATCAAAATTTTTTAAATAAACTACAAAAAGCCTATTGCGTCTAACCTTTGATCATAGATTCATTCTTCTAACAATCTGTAGTCACAGTATCGATCTTTCCACTTTCCTACGAAACCATATATCATATCAGTACAGATTTCACCGCCCTGATATCCATAAATGTCTAACATGCAATTTCAATTCAAATATTCGTTCAACTTCTCATATATCCAAGTGTTTCAATCATTCCAGATCAATCTGAGCACGTGTGATGGGTATGTTGAGGTTCCTATCAATGAACGGATGTATGATCAATGCACACATGTAAATATCCAAATGAGGGTGTGGGGTGGATGCGGAGGGGTTGATATCAACGTGAGGGTGTGGGGTAGATGCGGAAGGGTTAATATCAATGTGATGGTGTCGGGTGGGTGCGGAGGGGTTGATATCAAAGTGTGGCTGCCCGATGAGTACAGAAGGATTATAAGCAAAATGACGGTGTGCGGTAGGTGTCAAAAACTTATCACAGTGGTGTAGCATGCAAATGAGGGTACAGAATAAGTGCGGAGAGGTTAAGAGTGAAGTGAAGATCCGCAACGCGCAGGGACACTTAACAACTACTGCAACCGCACAACACCAGTACTACACTACTTAAATATTTCAAAAAAAAGCCCTTCAACTTTTGAATATGTATCTAAACACCCAAAATCAGATTTCAAGTTTAACGAGGTGCGCAACATCACACTCAAGCCAAACCAGCACCGATAAAATATATCTCATATCAAAAAGCAACGTGACACCAGTCTCCAATAAACCACTAAACACAAGATCTGTAATATTCCATAAGATGTCACCCTACTCCGATGTTACTACCCATTCACCTCATTGTTTCCCAGCACGAGAATTCAATATATAAACAACGCGAACACAATCTATATTGTACCATTCGCAACCATATGAGCGGTACATCGAACAGTTTCTTATCGGCTCTCTGTCGAACTACGCAGATCAATTAGGCTTATCTGTGATCTTCGGATCATTTGGATAGCTTATGCAGTCTAAAGCCATCTGATGAGTCCTCTAGCAGGGACGAAATCGCGATAATGGCGTGCTTTGACTCACACCCTTACACACACCCTCGAAACTATAGTAGTAGCTATCTCTGTTTTTAATTCACACCCTTGTGAACAATAGATTTCTTTGCTAACTTTGAATTTTGAGAATAAACGTTGGAAGTTCTGCTTCAAGAAACTTTTAATTTTGTTTTCGAATTCTTATGCAAAGTTTTTCAAAAAAGCTACCTGAAGACTAGACCCTTGAGAAAGGTCGAAACTATAGTAGTAGCTATCTCTGTTTTTAATTCACACCCTTGTGAACAATAGATTTCTTTGCTAACTTTGAATTTTGAGAATAAACGTTGGAAGTTCTGCTTCAAGAAACTTTTAATTTTGTTTTCGAATTCTTATGCAAAGTTTTTCAAAAAAGCTACCTGAAGACTAGACCCTTGAGAAAGGTCGAAACTATAGTAGTAGCTATCTCTGTTTTTAATTCACACCCACACCCTGGTTTGTAACACACTGTATATCACAGGTTGGAAGAATATATTTGATTTTGCCATCGAAGACGACGTATGTAATAAAAGGTTAAAAATAAGACAACAATGCCGAGTGGAATAAATAAACCAGCGCAGATAAGAAGTATAAGACCGGCGGAGCCATACGAACCGTACCATTGAACGACAGATGGATCTCTTGTGTCGTACCAACACAGATAAGACATGTTCACCTAAAAAAGACATTTATACAAACTAAGTCGAACCTTCAGACATAAAATTACTGTCAAATGATTCATGTGACCATCTTCAAACGTGATGAAAAGTAGATGCTATCAAATATTTGATCGCAAACGGTGGAATATTATTTATAACTAACTGAATAAACTGTATTTTTAGTATCAAAGTGTCGAAGTGCCTAAGCGAAAGGGTTCGAAGACTTTAGTAAAATATGCAATAGAATATTTCAAACATTTCTCTTCAATAGGAGAACAATATAACTAGTTTTCATTGGTTGTAACAATCAAACTTCGATGAAACATGTTTTCGAGTCATATTATTCTGCTGAGATTCCAATTCACTTGAAATGAATACAAGACAAATCTAGTGTGAAGAGGTTCGTTTTACTGTGTAGACAAATTCTGAATGAAAAATATGAACACATCTGTGCAGAATAGAATATCAAATGGTGTGTCGAGGAAAGGCCGAAAGGAAAAATATCCACAAATATATATTAAAAGTGGAAAAATATCGGAACCAATAAATATTTAAAAAAAGTAGTATTTCCAATGAATGGTGTCTCATAGGATGTATGAATTTTTTGATAGTTCTACTGATCAATATTTGTGGCTGATAGTAGTGATTAAGAGTAATATATGATACAGATTTACTTAAAGATTCGAACAAAAAATTGAAGAGAATCGTCTCCAACTTATTCAATTTAATACAGGGTTAGCAGCGAGACCGAAACAAAAAAAAACAATGCAATTCAGCGTCGCATGAACAATCTTACTGAACGATATTATAAGGCTATTATTAATGTTATGGGATATTTACAGGGTCTATCGTTTATAGTTGCTTAAGGAAGAAAATGACACTATTTTTTTTCTTTGCTTTAATTTCTTCCCAGGTCAATTACGCCCGGTCGTAAACGACAGTAGACGTGATTGATTTTGACGGTTACGATGGTCGTAACTATTATCCTGGGTTGAATTGTGTGATTTCTGTTAGACTGCTATTAGTTGTTTAATGAAAAAAAGTATCTCGCCTGGCATAATTTACTCTAGCATCTTTCGACTATTTTTCACTAAAATATTTTTTTATTCGACATTTTACCTTTCATCCTTTCTACGGCCAACCTATCAAATGCCTCTTATGAAAATATATGTTTGTGTACGCACTTGAAATTCTTGTGCTGCATTGATTGCATCTGTAATATATCGATAGTGACGTGCATATGTACTCTGAATTGTTGCATTAAATAGATCATTAGAATATTCCGTTAAATTCTGTAAAAGACTGTAGGTTACATGCCAGTTGATCTGATAGCATCGAAAACGTTCCTTAAGTCGTTCTTTGCACCATATTAAACGATATGAGATATCTTTTACTTGACATGAACTCGGTAAATAATACGTTTTCATTGTGTGTTCAGTTTTGTAAAGCAAACCACCGATGATGGAAAAACTTAAAATACAGACACTCAGTAGAACAAGAGTGAAGACACCAATCACAACACATGTTCTTGTATAATTTATTGTTCGTGAACCGTCGCCAGTTGCTTTGATTGATCGTTTTGTTCTAAATCTGTCAATAGTATTGTTAAACTAGTGAAAACATCTATACATTACATCCTTATTTTTTTCTTTCGCTCTTTCTGCTCCTACTGTCTCTCATCTTACAGAAAGATTTTGAAAAACTCCTCAAACTCATCAAAATTTCTACGAAGTTCTCAAGGGGCCACTAGTTTTACATAATCTTCGAATTTTAGTTGCTAGGAATTTCTAAAAACTCACTTGACCTAACGCTAGATCACTTCGAAAAAAATTTTAGAATTTTCTGCCACTTGCTGTCTATGATCTTTAACCTTTGATTTGATGACTGACATATTCTCTACATTGCCTAGAATATAGACGATTAAAATAAATGTCCATATTAATGTGCACGATACGGTTTTCTCCACTTGGTATTCGTGTTGCTGACAACTCTTAATTATAGACGTTGCTCATCAGGCGATAGTGGAATAGACGAAACTCATCGTTTGAGTTTTACATTATCATTTTTAATACTTTGATGAAATTTGATCGTATTCATTATCTTTTCCTAATTAATTACTGCATGCACTTTGTAGTTTTTCCGATAAACTAGTGTACAATCTTATAGATTTTTCTCAAGTTAATCTGCAGTTTTTAACAAAATAAAAGTAAAATCTTTTATACAATAAATGTGTGATATTCACAGCAGTCACACGGTACTAAAATAGAGAACCCTCTATTTTGAAGTAAATAGTGATGGTGGTAGTTGTTTTATTTTTAGGTGAGTTTTAGAAGAAGGAACGTTACCTCTGTACATTAGGCTTTTGAGACTCTATTCTAGTTGATTTCTGAATTCAGATAAATGGTGAAGACTCAAAAGATTTTCTTTTCAGTATCAAACAGAATGTTTTTCTCTTTTGAAATCAATTTCAAATAAAAAATAGATGATTTTACGATCCTACTGCTACGGAAAACTATAGAGGAGACGAAAGTTTCAATTGTGTTGTATTGCATTGTAAAAAATTAAAACAAGCTTTTTTGGGGGATAAAAGACAGAACAAACGAAGAAAAGAGAATCGTTCTGTCACTTACCGGCATTTTTTTTGTATCTTATACCAAAATGTTGCTACGACATTACTGCTGAGTGATGCTTCTTTTTCTATTTCCATCAAAGAAAAGCAATGCTGGACTCAATCAATTGTTTTTCTCTTGGTATTTTACAGACAAATCTTGTGAGTAGATATGTCAGTAACAGAATGTTCTCTTACACGCTATCATAATCATACTCACGAGAAAGATATGGTGATTCATCTGCTGTGAAAATATTTACTCTGCATCATATTTATCAAACATCATTCGTCTTTACCTTTCGTCATTGTTTCAGGTCGGCTCGATGTATACGATTTATCGTCATGGTTTTTCTTGTGTTACTTGAGGATCAGGATAAACTTCTGCATTTCCCATCATTACCACACCATAACTGACAGTCATAATAGAGCGACATCTAATCATTGTCTGAGAGTTCAAATATATGGAAGTCATCTATCAGCTTGAAACGCTGCAGAAGACGCCTCATCTCCTATTGAAGATACCAGGGGAGATTTAATATGTCTGAAAGAGTGTGGGTGTGGGTGGATGTGGGTGTGTATGTAGGTAGATGCGGCTGTGGGTGAGAGTGCGGCGTGTGTATCAAACGAATGACAACCACAACCTCTTGATCCTCATCCACATACTCTAGTATTAATGAATGTCGTAGTTTCACTGATCTCACGTGTCACGTTTCCTCGTTACTTAAGAGACGCTCCATGAAAAAATCGAATATTCGGAAAACACGGTGGAGAATAGATTTTGGATTTGATCCCATAGATAGTTAGGCCTTACGAGGGAACATATTTAGGTGATTAAGCGATTTAGATCCCATCTTTTGGTGATAGATAGACCTCAATGAGGTATGAAAAACCTCAAGAGGATTCGTGCCCTC